TTCACCTGTGTTTTTAATCTATTGTATTTAGTGGTCTAATGACCAAATTACTTCTTTCAATTAATTAATCTTTTTATGTAAGGTTTTGGTTGAAATGAAAAAGCCAGTGTCACGAGCGGGATTCGAACCCACTTCCTTCGGCTAAATACGCCGCTGCTCTACCACTTGAGCTATCGTGACTTCGATCCACTCCGACACCAACTAATCATCTCAACCTACAACCTTTCGAATTTTCTCTCCTTTTTGCCATTTTTCAAATGAGCAGCGGCGTATTTAGTCGAAGGTCGTAGGTTCGGATCCCACTCGTGGCACTAACTAAGATTAATTAATTGAAAGAAGTGTTTTTAATATTAAAAAAAAATCGCGTTTTTTATTGTTTTTAAAACAGAAATCTATCTGATAAATTACGGCTCGACAGCTGATTTAAAAGGATACGGTGCCACATAAATACAACTGAGATCTATCGTTTCTGTTCTGAGAGATTCCTGGGAAAACTCTTTCTTTGGCAAAAGAGTTATTATGAAAGGAGTTAAGTAGGGCCTTGGAGGCCACACCGGCACAGATTTATTTTCATCTCGTTTACCGCCTGTTAAAAAGGTCTGTTGGAATAAAAGATTTCCCTGGGGTACTGCCCTAAATATCAATAAAATAGTTTACGTGAAGGGCAACATGCATTTGCGGAGTTTTAAATGTTATTCCAGCCCCATTTTGCTGAAATGAATCGTTGGAATGTTTTTAAATATGCAGGTAATTTACTGTTTTCAATATTTCTCCTCTATGAATTTGAAGAACCCAATAAAACTTAATAACTTTGCACATTTATGTGTTTTTTTTTTTTTTGTAATTCTCTTTTCTTATCTGCTTGTGAATTATATAAACAAATTTATAATAAATTATATTAAATAAATACAAAGAATCATGGTAATTTTCTTCACATTGACAAGTAACACATAAGAACAACATATGATCTATTGAACAAAAACACAAAAATGAATGAGAAAAAGCAAGGTGCAACACAGTCTACCAATAAAATGATTATTACAAACAAAGTTGGGGTTGTTAATATGATGTTAATATACCAATTTAATAAGGATAAAATAAAAATTTAAAAAATCAATTTTATTAGTTTCTGGGCGTTAATACTGCAACAACTAAAATAAACCATTTTTTTAAACTATGGCTAGCAGAAAAATGTTAATAATAATCATTAGATTTCGTGGTCAAATTGACCAAATAATTTCTTACAATTAATTAATCTTTATGTAAGGTATTGGTTAAAATGAAAAAGCCAGTGTTACGAGTGGGATTCGAACCCACGACCTTCGGCTAAATACGCCGCTGCTCTACCAATTAAGCTATGTTGTCTTCGATCCAATCGGACACCAACTTCCCATCCTTACATACCTTCCATTAAGTATTATTAAAATTAAGTAGTTAATAATAATGTTACCTCTTGGGTTAATTCAACCTCATAGTTGAAATACCCAAAATTTCAAGAAAGTACCCCGAAGAAAGTGTTTTCTTAAATTAAAAAAAGCTCAAAATGAAATAAATTCTAATGTCTTTTCAATTAATTAATCTTTAAGTACGGTATTGGTTGAGATAAAAAAGTAAGTTCCCTAAAAATCTGGGATGACAAGGTAGGTACGTTTAGGGTTACATGCAGGTAGTCTATCGGAATGGAACACGCCAAATATTCAGATTAGTATTTTAGACATTCTAAAGTTTAGGAAAACTTGATTTAGACATATTTCCCAAAATAAGAACACCTTAAGTGATCATTGTTCATTAATAAGTTTTTTGTATTAATCATCATACATGAACGCTTGAAATGAAGAAGAACTTATGAATTAGCATGTGTACGTTTTATATAAATTATTCGAACACGTTCCACTGCATTAACTATTAACTGTATTTTAACAATTAACTGACACAATTACAAATAGGAAAAAATATTTGTAAATTAAAATCTTTACGGTCTGTTCATCGGTTACTGTTAATTATTTACGTTAGTTGAGATAAAAATCAGTGTCACGTACGGGATTCGAACCCACGACTTTGTTCGGCTAAATACGTCGTTGCTCTACCACTTGAGCTATTGTGACTTCGATCCACTCGGTCAACAACTTCCCTTCTCAACCTACAACCTTTCGAATTTTCCCTTTTTTTGCTATTTTTAAGTGTCGTGTAGTCAGGATTCAGTCATTCATTTAGTCATAATATACATAATATGCAACTTTTCTACCTACCTACTTTCATTCAAAATAGTACTATGCAAATGGATAATTATCTTTCTTTGAATGGGGGCTGTGATGGGATGTCACAAGTGTCCGAGTGGATCGAAGTCACGATAGCTCCAGTACAGTAGCGGCATATTTAGCCGAAGGTCGTGGGTTCGAATCCGAACCCTAATCGATTTAAATTCTAAAGGTTATTTTTTAAAAATGAAATGAGATGCAATAGATTCCGCCTAACGTAGGAATTTATAGTAACATTGTATCATGAAAATTCAATTTAATCTCGATTTGATTTTAATTGAACAAAAAAGGGAATAAAAGCAGGCCGGACAATTTAATATATTTGAGAAGGATGCGGGATAAATTTTCTCTTCATTGGCAGTTAGAGGGCAGTTAAGCGTAACTTGTATCCAACTTACGGCCCTGGATCCAATTGGTGCTTTGCCATTACAATTAATACTAAGCCCAGCTTCTATATTACCGATCAAAGCAGTGTCAGAGCATCCGGGGATTAGCCATCCATGCTGATTGATACTAGCTCCCGTGGAAGCACCGTTTGGCCCGGATAAGGCTCAATTCTCGCGGAGCTTGCTACAGGATTCCGTCCCTAATTGGATCCTGTTTCTAAAGAGAGATTAAAATAAATTCCATTATGAGAATATTAGGGAGACTTTTCTAAAACTTCAGCACAAAACAAAAAGAACCAATTTTCCAATTTACGTTACTTATATGCTGATAACAAGGATTAATAAACTAATAACTTTTTCATTTTGCAATCAACCCAGCATAAACGCTAATAAAAAATCCATTAGATTTCGTGGTCAAAATAACATCTTTTACTTAATTAATCTTTATGATATTGGTTGAAATGAAAAAGGCAGTGTCACGAACGGGATTCGAACCCCCGACCTTCGGCTAAATACACCGCTGCTCTACCACTTGAGCTTATTAACTTATTATATATAAGTTAACGCTTTTAAACGATTAATTTTGTTTGCTTAAGAGGCTCTCAATCAAATGAAACCTATCTGCCTGTCATAGATGCAAAATTCAATTTCTCATTACTTTTGCATTTACAATCCATCCTCGTTCTTTTACAATGGTTCTAGCCGTTGCGTTTTCACAGTATACTGTAAACGTTAATCTTCTATTCATTATATTTCATGGTCCGATTGACCAAATAACTTCTTTCAATTAATTAATCTTTATGTAAAGTATTGGTTGAAATGAAAAAGACAGTGTCACGAACGGGATTCGAACCCACGACCTTCGGTTAAATACGCCGTTGCTCTACCAGTTGAGCTATCGCGACTTCGGTCCACTCGGACACCAACTCCCCATCTGAACCTACAACCAACCCATACCTTACAGAAAGATTAATTAGTTGAAAGAGATAATGAAAACTATTACCTGAAAAACGAAATTTCTTAATTTATTGTATTTACTTTGTTCACAAATCTCTATAACAAACTAATATTAAAAAATTGTTTTATTCAGTCCCAATCGCTTACGAAATTTGATGTAATATTATTATATAAGGAGTTGAATATCTCAAATAAATCAAATAATAAAAATCTATAGAAACGTCCAGGCGATATTAATCATTCAGTATTTTATTGACGCGAGTAGTAGGAAATGGTTACTTCTGGGACCGCCTCATACGTCATCACGCCTCACTCATGGGGTCTGACGGTGTATAGACTTTTGCCCCCCCCCCCCCTTTGGAGATACTGGGACCGCCTCGGTCAAGTCCAACTTTTCGGGACCATCTCACACATCACGTTTGACAGGGTTCACTAGCGCATCTGGTGGCTTTCTGGGACCGCCTCGGTGAAGGTCCAAATTTTTGGGACCGCCTCACTCGCGGGGTCTGACGGTGTGCCCCCCTCCGAATCTATTTTGGAGATGCTGGGACCGCCTCGGTCAAAGTCCAACTTTCTGGGACCGCCTCACACCTCATACGCTTCACTAGCGCATCTGGTGGCCACAATCTGAACTATTAAAATCGGGGGTCTGACGGGATGTTACCGAGAAATGAAAAAAAAGGTGTGGTGGTTTTGTCAATGCAATCGTGGGATCTGATGGCTTGATATTTCACCTCCAACCTCTAGTTTGAAAAAATGTGGTTGACCAAGTGTATTGGGATAACTTTAGTTTCGAATTCTACGTGAAAAATTAATTACCAGAGGGCACCACCGTTTTTCGATTCGAAGCGTATTTTCATAATTAAAATTGATTTTTGTAATAGTTTGCTGTCAACGCATCCCATTCGTGGGTACTCGACCGAGCCACCCTTCTAATTTGACTAGGAGGTTTGTGCACGCCTCCTTTCATCATGACGTCACAACAAACATACCGAGGGGTGAAAAAAATGGTGTTGTGGGGAAAGATATAGTGAATACATTCTTGGGGGCCATGTTAAAATTTCCTACACTTGTAACGTCACAAAAGTCATGCAGTTGCTTGTTTCTTTGATATGTTCTTTATTTAATTATAACTTGTTTTTGAATATGTTTAGTATATATATTTTTTTTCTATTTTTTAACGAGCGGGATATTTTGTAATTTGCTTATCATTACATGTATGTCGGAGATAATATGAAATGCAGTGACGTATCTGGCTAACTGTGACGTCGTGACATAGTCGAGACAACGAGTGGATCACAAAAAAGAAGAAGAAGAACAAAGGACAAAGTCAGTCAGTCGTGCCTTTGTCCTCACAGCTAGAGCATCGTTATATTTGTACTAAAATAAATAAACAGGGAGACAAACAAGCGAAATGGATCATTTATTTCCCCGTGAAGATTTCTCAGAAGTGGGATCAGGATCTGATCTGGATCGACGGCCAGTAGCAGTTTCAACTTCATCTCAAGTTCCTTGGAAGGAGATTCTCGAGGAGCAGAACAGAATGGTTTCTCTTTTCCTTCAACATTTGCGAAAGGAGAGAGACCATTTTGACCTGCCGGAATTCAATCCGGAGTTAGCGGACTCCGACCCTAAGGTATGGTGCACGGCAGTTAACGTGCTGATGGACGAAAATCCTTTGTCGGGTAGGCCTCTGTTGGTAGCCTTAACAAAAGCTTTGAAAGGGAGTGCTGCGCAATGGCTGAATCAAGTCACTGACAAAAAATTGACGTGGCAAAAGTTTAAGGAATTATTTCTAATACAATACGACGTAGCAGAAACTCCGACGGCCATCATAATTAATTTATTGGAAACGCAACCCTCAAATGGAGATTTTGTCGCATATGCCACCAAAATGCTGACTTCACTTTCTACAAAGTGGCAAGATATGACAAAGGATAAGATCGCCATGAGTTTAATTTTAGCACACATGGCTCGAAGCAACGAACGGTTTCGCAGATTAGCGTACACGCTTGAATTGAAAAGCAAAGAAAGTTTCTTAAAAGAAATAAAGGCGGCGACCCCGACCAATAAGAGACTTTATCCTTTCTCAACACCGAGCACAAGCGCATATGAAGGAGCTAAGATTGCGAGACGAATGTTCCCGAAATGTGTGCATCGCGGGTTGACGAATCACCAATCATCGGAATGTAGACGACAACATCACGGAAGAACAGACCAGGGCCTCGATCGAAATCTTCGATGTGAGAGATGTGGCACCACTCTTTCGTTGACGGTCGCGGGTTCGATCCCTGCCTTATCCACTGGTGTTTTTAGCGTAGGAGGTCAGTACGTCCTTACAAAGTAACAGTTGAGTTTAATAATTCTTTTTTATTATTTCTTATCTCTCTTAGGGTTTAAGCCCCCTCACTACGTCAAAGTGGAGATACATCAAGGAGGTTTGTTTGAAATAAATTTCTGTGTAATATTGATATAATATTTCTCATTCATACAGGTTTACGGGTATTTTACCACCTCGCCAGTGACTATACAGGTTCACGGGTATTATGTCACTTCGCCAGTGACCTAAACACACATGCTATTACACGAAATTTATTTCAAATAAAATATTTATAACGAAATTTTTTCTTTTATAACGAAAAAGTTTTCTTCTATAAAAAGATTACAAATAAAATTAAATGTAATGTATAATCTTCTTCTATGTATATCTTTATACATCAATAAATAGATTTTATATATATTGTTAAAGTAAAGTAGCTATCCTTTTATAAATAAATAGAAATTCTGTATAATTAAAAAGATATTTGATATAACTAACAAATAACAATAATAAAATAAAAATATTTTCCTTAGTTACATCGGTTACAAAAATACCCATTGATTATCAATGAAATTATGAAATACTCGAACAATTATCGTACATAGAATAGTGACCATGTGGTAGGGTGTCTACTGAATTTCCTATTTGACACCTTTTATCATCATGAGGGCTCAATGCTAATTTATTTATTTTTTCAGTATATACCTCATGGTGATAAGATCGAATAGCACGAATTTTCGTACGGAGTGGGAATTTTTTATAAATGAATTTTAGATAGTTTTCGAATGAGATGTTTCGATCCACGGACATTTTCGAAACACCTTTGATCTTTTTCGTCTTCTTGTTATTTTTTTTGTAGGCGTACATCTTTGAACGTATTCCTGCAAATTCTAAAATAGGTAATCCTCCTGCTTCGTCTTTAAATTTTCCAATTTTTTTCATGTTTTCTGTAGAATAACATGGATGAGTAACTTCATAATCTGAAGTATCACAATTGTGCAGTATTTTTTTAATTCCTTAAAAAAATATCTTTACTATGTATTTCATAAAAGAGCAAATCAGTGTCCATGTAGAGAATACGGATTCTATCTTTAAAAATACGTACCATTTCTTCGTAGTGGAAATACATTAAAGTTTTTGGCACATCGAGAAACGCCATTCCCACAAATATTGGTTTATTTAAAATTATACATTCACGATTCAAGTGAACGATGCACATATTTTCTGAAAAAAATGGTTCTGTCTTTAAATGTAGGCTTGGCTATTAATTTTCGCACTCTTTCTTCGCTATTGACCAACTCCATTTTCAAACGTTTTCTAACATTTTCAAGGGATTTTCCGAATATTGCGTTTATCATCAATTTGAAAAACCACTTTTCAAAATTGTTGTTAGCCATCTTTCTTTTTTCCGCATTCAACTCAATATAACTTTTTAGCCATTTACTTTCTTTGAATCTAATAACACGATGGATCTTACTAATTTTTAAACCCAAACGCATGGCTTGTTTTAAATTTTTGTAATGAACAACATATTTTGTTTCTGATCTACGGTCGTTAACAATTTTTTATTCTTTCCTTTTGTCGGGATTTTCGTTTCCGGTAATAAAGGGAGGTCTTTATGATTATCATCTAAATCCTGAGGGTAGTGGATATCTGCTTCAAATAAACAACCGTATTCTCCTACGTCTTCTATATCATCGATGATAATGTTTGTGTCAACCCACTCAAATTGACCTATAGGCAATAGTTGGTTCATAGCCCACCCATATAGATTATTTACATCATAATATTGTAGAAAAGTAGTTTCTTTTGTGTTATCGTATTCAGGCCGCCTCTTATCCCTCTTTCGATCATCATATGCATGTCATAATCGGTTAGCAATTGAAGAACAACATCTGTATGTTTCAGCGCTACATCCCAGGCTAATCCTGGATCCCAATTTGTAAATTCCCAAGCACAAATCGCGATAATTTTCGAAAACGTCGGCTAAGATTAAAACGTCAGTCTTGAGATAGAGGTCTAGATATTCACCCAAATTCTTTAAGACTAATTAATTGAAAGAAGTTATTTGGTCAATCGGACCACGAAATATTGGGTTGTCCGGAAAATAATGCAGGATTTTGGTATTAAACAAAAAAAAAGAAACTAGTTACTTTAAAGCAATGTTCTTTAATCAAAATAATTTCCCATACTCTCAATACATTTCTCCCAACGTGTTGGTAACTTATTAATTCCGTCTGAGTAGAATTCAGAATTTTTAGAATTGATAAAGTCAATAAATGCATTTTCCAGTTCCGTTTGATTTTTGAATATTATGTGTTGTAAGTAGTGGTCCAGGTGTCTAAAAAAATGGTAGTCAGTAGGCGAGAGGTCCGGAGAGTAGGGTGGGTGAGGCAAAGTTTCATAGCCAAGCTCCAATAATTTTTGTGACGTTACACGTGACACATGTGGTCGAGCGTTGTCATGCAACAAAATGGGCCCTTTCCGATTGACCAAAGAGGGCTTCATTACTGCCAATTTCTGATGCATGGTATTAATTTGGTTACAGTATGATTCAGCATTGATGGTTTCGCCAGGATTTAAGAAGCTGTAGTGTATTAAACCAAATGAAGCCCACCATACCGTAACCATTACCTTTTTTTGATGAGTTGGGGGCTTTGGAGCTTCTCCTTTGTCGAGCCACTGTCCAGAACGTCTAGTGTTATCGTAGAGAATCCACTTTTCGTCACATGTAACAATTCTGGCCAGAAATGGGTCATTTTTGTTTCGACAAAGAAGTGATGCACAAACATCAAAGCGCTGATTTTTTTGGCGATCGTTTAATGAGTGTGGAACCCAATTTTCGAGTTTTTTCACTTTTCCAATCGCCTTGAGGTGGTCAGCGACGGTCGTTTTACTGACTTTGAGTTGCTCTGCAAGTTCTCGAACAGTTGTTTTGGGGTTTTCTTCCACCACTGATCGCAGAACATCATCATTAAGAGAGGAAGGCCTTCCACGACCTTCTTCATCTTCAAGGCTGAAATCTCCCTCCCGAAATTTTTTAAACCACCTTTGCACAGTGCACTCATTAACACAACCCTCGCCCCAGACTTGGTTAATGTTTCTAGCCGTTTGGGCTCCGCTTCGGCCGAGTTTAAACTCGTAAAAGAAAATCGTACGAAATTCTCGCTTTGACATTATAAGGATGACTGAATTATTTCCAAGTAGCGGAATGCTACAGAGGTAAACAAACAATATCATTTGGAAGAGGAGTAATCCTGTAAACGTAAACAGAATATTTTATATAGATTTTTTTTAATGAAAACTTAAAATCCTGCATTATTTTCCGGACAACCCAATATAATGAATAGAAGATTAATGTTTACAGTATACTGTGAAAAAGCAACGGCTAGAGCCATTGTAAAAGAACGAGGATAGATTGTAAATGCAACAGTAATGAGAAATTGAATTTTGCATCTGTGACAGGAAGATAGGTTTCATTTGATTGAGAGCCTCTTGAGTAAGCAAACAAAATTAATCGTTTAAAAGCGTTAACTTATATATAATAAGTTAATAAGCTCAAGTGGTAAAGCAGCGGTGTATTTAGCCGAAGGTCGGGGGTTCGAATCCCGTTCGTGACACTGTCTTTTTCATTTCAACCAATACCTTACATAAAGATTAATTAATTGAAAGAAGTTATTTGGTCAATCGGACCACGAAATATAATGAATGGAAGATTAATGTTTACAGTATACTGTGAAAAAGCAACGGCTAGAGCCATTGTAAAAAAAACGAGGATAGATTGTAAATGCAACAGTAATGAGAAATTGAATTTTGCATCTATGACAGGCAGATAGGTTTTCCTACTACTGACGCGAATTGTCGAATTCTGGTTAAGTAAGTGTTTCGCAATAATTCTAGTTTATTAATTTGATCATATTGAGAAAAAACTTATACAGTGAAACCTCTCTACAACGGACAGTCATGGGACCAACGGATTTGTCCGTTGCAGAGGGGTGTCCGCTGAGGAGGGGTAAAAATGTAATGTTGGTATGTAAATATGTTTAAAAAATTTCTATTGAAATGCGAATTTTCATAATGATCATGGATTCCTTAGAAATTAATCCCTGTTCAGACAGGAAATTCGTAGAATAAAAAAATTAAGTACATATATGTACATACTTAAAAAATATTTTACATACTACGTAAGTAACTTCGTACTTCGTATGTACTGTTAATAAATTTAAATTTAAAGTAAATCCTGTTTTCTCAATTTCCAAAGTCTGTTATGTGTCCGTTATAAGGGGGAAATTTATCTCTCGGGGACAAAAAGTAGGCTGTCCGCGTCCGTTACAGGGGTGTCCGTTGTAAAGGGGGTCTAAATACATTGATTACCTATACTTCCTCGACGGGACATTTGAAAACTGTCCGTAAGAAGGGGTGTCCGTTCTAGAGGGGTGTCCGTTAGGTGAGGTTTCACTGTATTTACAATGGATGAAAACGGCAGAAACGCGTATAATAACCCCCTCCCTTTATAACGGCTGTGATGGACGTAGAAAAACTTGGACTATTGTCGTCCTACACAGCCCTTCTCAGTTGAGATGTCCCGGATGGCGTATTTCCCTTCCGTATAAAAGAACGTTCATGCCATTGAATTTATTATTCGATAAGAATCGCCTTGTGAGCTGAAAAATCGTTAAACGCCTTCATTATTTATAAAAAACCCCATGAAATAATTACTTTAAACTGCCACCATGAAAACTGACTCTCCTTTTTATTGTATTCATTTGAAAAGCCTGTTTGATTTAACTTGTTTCTTAAATAAGAACTTAAAAGGGCACAGCTAAATCTAGCAATATCCACAGAGTACCAAATTTTTATTCCAAAGCCTTCAGGACCATTGACAGTACTCCCTACTAACTCTCAAACATTACCCTTCACAATTATCTGAAAATGCCTATGTACAAAAAGAAATTCCCAAATTATCTTCCACGTTCCAAAATAAAAACTTCTATATTCTCTATTATCTCATTTCTTATTCAACAGAAACCATGGAGCTGTATACGATTTGGCACGATCTCGACCGATGAGGGCTCAGCGTCAAGAGCACGACAGGTAGATGGCCCTCAGAGAACCTGAGCCGGAGACGAGGGATCGTCCTCATCCGATTGAGTATTGGCCATACGCGGTTG